TGGCGCCATTAATATGGAATTTAACGTCGTATTACGTCGCTGCTCTTAAGCACAAAAAAGGCTATACAGCATATACTACACAGTTAACGTTAATTACTAATAGGTCATTGGAGCGTAACACTAATCGTTATAAAAACCCTCTTTAATTAATGCCTCGGTCTGATGAGGACAGACCTAGTCACACCTGCACCAAACCGACTCCAGACCGTCTCCAGACCGTCTCCAGACCGTCTCCAAACTTACCCACTTTGTTTGCCATTCGGGCTAATATAATCGTTTGATCGGTCTGTCGTCTCTTTTGCAACTAATGTCAGTCACACCTTCGTAATGTAAATAGCAAAAAAAAAACATAATTAGTTTTAAGAATGCTTATAAACTTATTATTCGTTGTGTAATTTTCTCATAATATCCTATATCACTTAAACATTGCTATATTCTATTGGTAAACTTTATTACAATATACTTACATTGTGATCACGAATACTCCAGTAGATGAATGACAATTGGTTTATCTCGCAGCTGGAGGCAAAAGCTGAAAAGAAGAGCTTTAAGTTTGAATGTCCCAAATCTTACATTTTTAACAGTTTGTATCTGACAATGTCACAGTTTGTTATGTATTACATAGACCTTGTGGTATATTGCCTTATACTAACCAAGTTATGAAACGAAGTGTAATTCTACTACTACTAATATGCCTACTACTAAATACCCTGCCCTCCCCCGATATCAAGTCAATATACAGGGGTAGTGCGTCAATGATGATAGTCTTGTGATATCTGGAATATTCCGTACTGGTATGCAACCCTAATTATACCGATAAAAATATTTTTGGTGCAGACTGGTTCCCTTTAATGTGATGTACCGATTCGCACTTCAAAATTTCGTAGACGGCTACAGGGGCAGTGGTCACATAATATGGCAAACAGATCTACACAGAACGTTTTGAAAAGGTTTCCAATGCCGGATAATCGATTGACCCGATTCTATGGCCATTTATTGGAGATACAATGCCCTCAACTAGTTAACCTCATTTGCCCCAAAGGCAAGTCGTATTTCCTCTTTCTGACTGCTGCATCAGTTTTGGTAATCGTACACCTCCAAGTGATTTCTTCCGAAAAGTGTCGAATGTACAATTAACGGGGAGAGGATCTTGATAGCAAAAAATACTTTGCGTAAACACAGATCACAAATACCTTCGAATCGTTAACATTTGAATTCACACGTACTTTCTTCCACCTACAGTTTCTTTAAAACGCAAAAACTTGGATCTTTAAAGGTTTAAAGTTCCCCGAAAGTTCCCACAAACTTGATGACGATGATGACAAAGATAACTTACAATAGATGAGTATTTTTCTAATGACGAAATGGTAATGTATTACTGGGAGGGGGGGGGGGGGAGAAGAATTATTTATTTAAAAAACCGCTTGTGACAATTTCTTTGAATGAAATGCCCTTATGGATATTGTGTTAATTTTTTTCCAATGCAAATTTGCTCACAAAACTCCATTGAAAAAAAAGACCACAAATTAACATTTTAAAGCATTACTCGATGACTTTCTTCATCTGAATCTTTTCAAGCTGTTTTGTATAACTATAAGTTAAATAAATTTATTTGAAAAAAAGAATATGGTCAACGTTTGAACATATTTATTATCACAATAATAGGGGGTTTCATAGCAAAGCTAATATTGTACAGCTTGAAAGCAGAATGATGATTCGCCATGTCCGTCTCCCCGGTCTTACTCCGATCAGGGCCCCGTATTACAAAGAGTTGTGATTGATCCAAATCGATCGCAAGTCCTCTAATCAATCACAAGATTGCAGTCTCCTATCTCTTATGTACATAGTTGCGATTGATATCAATCGCAAATAAGTTGTGATTGATATCGACTCTTTGTAAGACTTGGCCTTGAAGTATAAAGGATGATTTGAAGACGCTCACCCGCATAGTGCGGTGGAGGCATAGTCGTATACCTGTCGGTCTACCACATTTCACTTATTTATTCGTTGAAAATATGAAGTGAGACAGAAACATAAACAAAAAATAGAGAAGTCTCCATATTGAAGGAAAAAAATCCCATGTATCAAAATACAAAATCAATTTGCTGCCACAATTAAAAATACATTTCTTCCAACTGCAAAAAATCTCGGTCAATATAATTTTTTTCTTTAATATTAATTTGTGGAAAGACATGATCATTTTCCAATGAGAGGTGCATTACTGGATGCAATAATTTCATTCCCTCTTATATTCTTCAGAATTTTCTTTTTGTAGGTGGTAAGTACTATTGTACATATCACCTCTGGTTTTCCTGTAGATGTATAGCCGGCTTGGACAGACACTGAATATAAACATTTTCACAGCATATGACATATTCTAAATCAGTATTCGTATGAAAATGTGTCGAGCTCGATACATGCTCTAGTTCTGTTGTAAGCGCATCATTAAATATACAAATTCACATCCAGATTATTCAATGAGGACATGGTTTAAGTAATACATGTACTTTCATCTCTCTGATGGGGATTTTTTTCCCCGATCCATACCCTGACACGAGTAACAAATTAAAAATGCAAACTAGACGACGAAACGGGCATATCACTTATCTTTCGATAGCAACTTTTCATGGATCTTTTTCCGCAGGAGCAGTGAATTATTTATTACATGTACTTCCTGATTTGAATGTGAATTATTAATGCTCTATGCTCCGATAGGCATTGTAAACATAGCAGAAGACCAAGATTTGATTTCAAGTTAAAGCAATGTAGAGCACTCTAAGCTCTCACCTTCTATTTTATTTTGTTCTATATTTTAGTTAATGTCCATAAATTCTATAAATGAAACTCCCACTTTATTCTGGTGACCAATTATAGCACGCTAATGCTAAAGTCCGTGATCATAATGATAAATGAATCTTCAGATTGAAAAAGCTTACAAACTTTTACGAAAATATGAGTTCTGGTAAAGATGAAAATAATTTGTGAGCTTCCAAAGAGTTTCTTTCACAATAGAATCGCAATAGCAGTACTGAACTTATCATTAATACAAATTCGTAACTACAAAAAGTAACCGGGAATAGGAAAAAAGGGGATTACCAACAGAGACGGGAATGGGACAAGAAAATACTTTACATGACAAAGATAGGACAGTGAACCCCGAACAAATAATAGCAACAGTAAACTCTACTACTTCTAATAATGGTAATGCACTTTAAAGAGCCCGACGAACAGCCACAGGGAATACCAATATATTTGTTCAGGACATTATTAGTTTTATTTGGCTAATGACACCATTTGAAGAGGGCCATATCAGCTCATTTACTCCCAATGAATAAAATGAGAAAATAATTTACCGCAATAAAAATTACGCTATAGGGACTTTAACAAATTGAATATGAGCTTCAGAGATATCCATTATGAGCTTTGCCTAAATAGATGCATCAAATAAAATTCCAGGTCTGGGCAAATGTTGTCACCATTTATGACAGTGACTATCCTCCCTCTGCGTTCTCATTAAGAAAATATTTCGGAAATATAATTACGAAATGTGTTGTTTGGGGTGAAAGCACTAGGTTCTCAAGATTTTATTATGTTACAATAATTCAAAGATTGTCAACCGAAATTGGATTCTACGACTGAAATTATGAGGAATTCTTGATAATTATCGTCTACGAATCGGAAGAACAAGAATGATTAAAAACATGAATTAGAATTATGAAGCCAGATGGACAATGAAATAAATTCTTAAGAGAATTCATGTAAGAGAAAGAGGTTCAGCCTTTTTTGTAATACTGGTGGATTAAATCAAAATATTAAACGTTCGAATGTTGTTAATATCGAATATTCTTAGTCGTTGCTTTTCCCTTAAAGTTGAATTTATGTCTTCACAATATGTTAGCCTTAAATAATGAGCGTGAATATTTAGTGACTGTAAATATGTCATTGGACATACAGTCTGTTCACTATGTTTACAGGTCATAACTTTTGGTTAAAACAATGACGTATGGTAGATGCATATTGGGATGGTAGTGAGATAACATATCTAAACACGAATCTAAAAAAGGGGGCGGGGGAGAAAGAAATTAAAGGTGGCCATAACAACCATTCCCGCTATTCCTTGACTGCTAGGCAAGTATACATAAATAAAATCTAATAGCTCTATAAACAAAATCTGCATTTTAAAAATTCTTCTCTGAGAAAAAAGATTTTTAAATCGATTTTGAATTACATGTATAGTCTTTAGTCAAATCATTTACTTGGACGTTTTCGGTGTCATATTGTCAAGAAAAAAAATATTAAAGTACTGCCACCTTTACAAAAAGTACTGCCACCTTTACAAATCACCAATATGACCAAGCTTTCACCCACAATGCATATGAATACTCTATCAGGGTTTGAAATTTAAGTTTGTATTGATATTACTGGAAATTGAGTATTGTTCTCATATAACGCGAAAATTGTTTGGGAAAACAAACAATTTCAAAGCACTCTTCAAAATCAAACGAACTGGAAAGCCTCATACCACAGTGGTTGTGGTTTTTCTTAAAGTTGAAAGCACTATAAAGTGAACATACCAGTTTGGAATGAAAATTGATATCTGTTTTAGGGAGTCGTGCTCAGAAAAAAAACACGTTAATGCAATTTTAACGATTTATTTTCATCTGCAAAATATGCGCATAAATAATTCACACAAAACATTCAATGAAAACCCAAAGGACGTAAAATACATAGTAATTGGATATATGAACTCGTTTTTGTTAATGGACGAATATCAAAATAATTAGTTATAAACTAGGTATTCAGTGTTCGTGATACACACCAATAGGAAGATGCACTCGTGCATGTCAATCGTCCTTACCCAAGTTACAACCAACATAATGAAATTGAGCAGTGTGTGTGTGCGTTCAGTATTTAGTGCGTGCCCGCGTGCGTGCGTGCGTATTAGCGTGCGTGCATGTCTCCTTAGAATGCATCATGTATTGATTGGAGTACATAAAACACGACAACACCAGACCGCGAAGCGCTCAAAATGCTCAGCGATGTGTCGCCTTTCTCGCACAACTTAACAGAACAGTTCTCGGCACCGATCAAAGAGAGTCAGCTCTTATATTACCTGACCCGGCTCCGAGCTCGCTTCACAGGTGTACTATTTTATTTTCATCACTCTAGAGATGTCACTCTGATTTAATGGATGTTTCTAAATACTTGTTCAGCATTCTATATGGACGGTGATAACTTTTAACACGCCGAGGGAGTCAACTTATCAGCAGGTAAAATATTTTTTTTTTAATTGTTATCGACTAAATCGAAAATATACAAGCTGTATATCTCGACGCAAATAAGGCACTTTTCATTGTGGATATTTTTAACGCCGATATTAAGCATACTTTAAAGAAAACACGATTCTGGAGATTTTTTTTCTTCTTCTTTCCAATGCTTTAATTTGTCCTTTGCAATCCTTGAATTGATCTCCCAATGCTTTATTTCTTTTATTTTTTAAATATTTTTGTTGCTGTAATACATGAGACGCTTAACTTTTGCAAACTGAACCCTTTTTAAAAACAATTGTAAATAATCGAAGTACATTTTAGAAGAGAAGTTACATTGGAATCATTTTCATGAGGATCGCTTTTCGTTATGGTTTATTGCATAAAACTAAGGAGCATCAATAAATTAAAAGAGGAGGGTGCACCACTGTGTAATTTGGCACTTCTGAGCCAAATTTACTAATTGAAAACAGGGGCAAGCAAATAGAAAATACAGACAAAATGACAACTTACTTTTCAAAGTTTTTTTTCCGACTTTCTGTATTTTTCCTGTATTGGAGAGCGTCACTGCAATCATTTGAAGGGAGAGGGGGAGGTTAAACCGTATTTGCATGTTGGATCTTATTCTGCTCAGTTAGACAAGGGTATGAAGATTGATTACATTCAGACTAAAATAAAAGTTAGTCCGATAATGAATACATCATATTTATAGCGACAAGCTACTTTGAAGGGTAACCTTAACGGTTCATTCTTATGCCTGAAACTGACAATACTATTCGGTTTGTTTGCTAGTAGAAACGTCATTTTATCCATACCATTTGCTCTTTTCAAGGTAAGAAGGCATCGTTCATTGTACCACAGTAATTAGATGTGTAAGCGATCAATTCCTTTGCAATTGTTGTCATGTAACGAGAAGCGTTTATTCTCTCCTTCCATGCCACAATCGTTATTTCTAATGAGATAACGATGTGAGCATGATGTATTACGTTGTATTGTTGTAATCAGTCTACGTGAAATGAGATTGAGCAATAATCTACTAATTAACATTCACGCGTGTCAAAATGGGGCTGGAATCCTTTTAACATAATTGCATTAAAGTGCACAAGTAGTAGTAGTTGAAATAGTGAGCCTCCTCCCAAACCAGTCTGTCATATTTCATTAAATTGAAGAGAAGTGACCTCATTATTACTGAATTTGTAAATAGATACATATTTTTCAAATAAATAACACATGAAAAGTGTTTTGTATTAAATGAAGCACGATTAATAGATTAAGTTTTAGACTTTATATCTGAAACTACGAAAATAAACGTAATCACTTTCATGTCATTGTCTTACCATTGTGAGGTAGATTGAACCGTATTTGGCATTTTGAATGAATATTGTAGCTCTGCGAAGACTTAATAGTCCAATCAAATTTCATTGTCTATATCCTTATAACATATACTCAATTTTGTATTCCTAAATGAATACTTTATTTCGTCTAAATTCATTTCAGAGTTATAATGATATCAAAGTGTGCATTGCCTTAAAGTGCATTAGTTTAACAAGTTTGTTTTAACATAGCTTGAAGTAAACATTAGAAATAAAATCAACCATTATATTTCATATTTTGAGGTGACATACATTGTAAAGAGTATTTCACATGATTTGGTATCGTTAAGCAGAGTAAAACAACTGAATTACCGTGGTATTATATTACGTTGTTAAAAAATATATAATTTCTTTTAAGTGGAAAGTCGATAGGAATACAAGATTATTTAGGGAAAATGAGGATTAATCTGTTTATCCAATCTGAATTTGTTGTTGGACTTGGTCGTTGGACGTATGTTTTGTTCCATCATTCGAAACTTAATGAATATTTACTTCTTCTCAAAATACTAGGTTTGTTTGTGTAAATGTTTAAAGAACCTTATGTGGTGAATAAATGTCTGATGCTCGATCAGTGCTAGATTTCAACTGGTGGATAAAATAAAGTAATGTGATTCTTAGAAGAAAAAAGAGGAACACTGGGACAACTCCGGCACCTGTTTAAATACTACGAATTGTTTTTGAAATGTTCTTAATAGAAGCTCATGATTTATTTTGTAATCGGAAATCCACCTTCAAAGCCGAACCGCATGACCGGGTCGTGTTTTTATGAAGTATCTTTATTGTGTCGGTGCCAAAAAAATGATTGATATCCAGAGAAAAGCCTCTTTCAATTCGTTATTTGGTTGACTTGGTTCTATCAATCGTTCCCCTCGTTCTGGTTTCCCGTGTTCTTAAAGAGAAAAGTTTACTTTGAACTTGCTGCAGTCTATCTATGCTTGTTTTCCGTTGGAGCAGGAAGCTATAAATCTAGCACGTGCATTCAACACATTTCTGTCATTCCATCTGATTTCTTGTCTGCCTTGCGATGTTTCATCAGTTCATTCATTGTATGTATTAGTGAGTATAATTATCGCCTTGACATACCCGATATTGATATTAGATAAGAGATTATGCAAACGAACCTTCGATATGTAAATGGCCATAATAAATATAGCCTATTAGGTGTAAACGGAATACAATTTGTAGTATAATTAAATCGAACATACTGACCTCAAACCACTTTGGCCTTAATGGTGGCCGCCTTACATGTATATATCATGACTACAATTAACATATTTAGAGAATTTTTCTCATAGTTGTTTTTGTGTTTTTGTTTTTGTTGTTGTTGTATTTTACTCTGATCAATACACGTTTCAGTATGCCTTTGTTCGAAGGGATTATCAATTCCTTAAAATGTTATTAATGGTGATTAATTAATTTCATGGTCCAATATTGCTTATTTTGCCTACCGCAAGTGTTAATCGTGTACAATTTATGTCCCAGAGAATATATATTTCGGTACCTTCCATTGTAGTTTAAAAATCATTAAACCCTAATGACTCGGACTTGAAAACCGAACGGGAATTGTTTAATGACACCATCAATTAAATTCGCTCTTGATATACTGTGACAGAGGTATATCATGCACCTTCTTTCTTGGTATACGAATGTCATAGTATATTTACATAGTTCAGAGGGCTGTTTTTTTATTTGATGAAATTTTATTATTTGTTTTTAAATTATTATATGCCTTTCTAGAACAGAAGTATCGTTGTTGGAAGCCCTTTAAAAGAGGGGATGGGTTAGGGTGGGAGGGAAGGAGTGAAGGGATCTTATCGTGTTCTTTTCTTGTTCCTTTTGCTGTCTGCTTTGGAGCCGAGTAAAAATAAGATTACAGGTAGATATATACGAACGCTATCCGCCACATTAACGGTCTGCGCAGCGTCTACCCCGACCAGGGAGGTGAAAGAAAAGGAGGCGAAACTCTTGTAATTTATTCAAACGCATTCTTGAGTTCTAAAGCGTAACAATGAGATGTGTAACATTCCACTTGGCTTTGAAGTTCCATGCTCCGAACCGCGCTTCCACTGCGGGGACTTTCGGAAGCCAGGCACCAGTTTTACATTTATTACAAAATATTAAATTACCGGCAAAATTTTAGTGTAAATCAAAAACTTTATATGGGGATTTTATTGGGAATAGTGCATCAAACAAATTTTCAAATTTAAAACTCCGTCCTTCCTTTAATTTGTGTGCCAGAGTTGGTAAAAGAAAAATTACATCCTGTCAAAAACTCAATATTTTAGGATGATGCGCTAATTTGTGCATGCTTTAATGTCCCGTTATTTGATCCATGGTTTACAATCTTCAATAACATTAAGTTTGCTAATGCGTGTTTTCGCGTGTTTTTTGTATTTTTCAAGTTTAAAAAAGGATGAAAGTACACAAGTTTGTGTTCGCTTGTTCTAGTCTTTACACATTCAACAATGGATGAGAAATCATTGGAAGGGACAGCGAACAGTTGCAGTGATACCATTTTCTGATGTAGGAATTCTAACTCCTGAAATGTCATGCGCTCTTTTATCTCACCACCTGGTCAACAGTTGCAGATTAGCGCATAACTTTTCGGCGGCTTGGAGCATGGGGTCAAAGGAGAGCGGCTTGATTCCAGTCCTTCTCTATCACGTCCCTGCCCCGACCGTCAACACAATGCGCATTACATGTCGGGCAACCACTTGAAGGTGGGATTTGCCGATCAAACGAAAAACCGTCTTATAATAGGGACTTTTAGATTGAGTGGACGAGAACACGACGAACGCCGACTGATCATGCGTGTCAACGTACTTAACTGCGCATGTTGACTACAATTAGAAATATTTTAGATTGCACTCGACGATATACATGCATGCAGGAAGTAACACTGTACTATGAACATCAAGGACAAAGTTCCTCATTCTGCCCTCAACAAAAGAACATCCCTTCCCTGCTATTATGTAAAAATGTGTAGAACAGGTGAATATGCATGTGACACCTGTTCTACACATTTTTACATAATAGCAGGGAACGGATGTTCCTTTGTCTACCTGAGAAACTGTATACTTTATGCGCACGCGGCATACTAGTACCTTGAGCATGTAAAGGCGCTATATAAATATCAATATGTATGTATGTATGTACTAGATGTAGGAAAATCAAGGTTGACGCATTCTCGATCGCCGACTGAGACGACGTAACACATGCGCAGTGCCTTAAAATGACGTCACACGTTGCAGTCAAAGCTGTTGACGTGCAAATCTAAAAGTCCCTACTATTGTGAATGCGTACATGAACGATGGGCATAGAAAATCTCTAAAACGAATGCACAACGGCAATTTCGCGTTATTTGCAGATATGAGCAGAGCTATGGGCATGGGCACAATGCCGCGACTCATTAATGTCTTCTCCGCAAACTATTTATTTACCATGACAACAGCGGTGTAAAATAATGACAAACTGAAGCAAAATGTTATCTGTGATTTGAATAGAAGAAAGAATGTTCAATGACTGCTTCTTTGTCACCATACAGAAATGAAATTGTCCGTTTTTTTTAATGAAATGAACACAATATGTAATCATTTATGCAAGGGTGACGATCGGGGGAAGGAAAGTGGA